GGAACAGGCTGCCCAGGGAAGTGGTCAAGTCCCCATCCCTGGAGGTATTTAAAAGACGGGCAGACGAGGTGCTTAGGGACATGGTTTAGTGGTGGGATGGCAGGGTTAGGGTAACGGTTGGACTTGATGATCTTAAAGGTCTTTTCCAACCTAAATGATTCTATGATTCTTTGACTCTATGATTCTACTTTAAGCACAAAGTCCTAAACCAAAGCTCTTCAGAGTTTTCTTCATTCCAGGATCTTATTCTGCACTTGATGTCTTCAGAAATCCTTTTGCCATATGTGTCTCTTATAGTCCTGAAAATCAGACTCATCTGGTCTTGGCATCTCATGTCCTACATGAGAGGCACTGTCTTGTTCCTCTCTCCAGCCCTCGAATGGCAACAGCATGGCTGTTGGGGGGTACCCCTGGGAGTTGCGGTGCTCCCAGAGTCCATCACAGCATGGGGTAGCTGTCCAGGCCCGGTCAGGACTTCACAGCTCCCCAGAAAGAGGTAATTTCAGGTGTCTTCTCTGGAACTTTTACAGAAAAGCTGCTTTTTTTTTAAACCATACCGTAATGCATGTGCAGGACAGGAACAGGAGTAACTGCTGCCCAGAAACCCTTACTCCTGCCATCTCCAAATTCCCAGGTATCTCACTGGTGGGCATGTGTGTGCTTACTTAGCTCAAGAAGTATACGCAGGATTTTGCAGTCTAAGGAAGGCAAAGTCATGCCCTCACAGTCTTCCTTTTGCATGCATAAGTATCTATTGTGTTTATTGTACAGAAACCTACTGTGTGATTTAATTTTTTTTTAAGTTTTGGACAGTGTAAAGAAATGCTGATCTTGTGAGGATCTTGCAGAGCTTCTGTAATAAAAATAACAACACCTTTTCTATAACACTGTGTGTGTCTCACTGGTTTACAAGTGTGATAAATTGTATTTTTCATGCCCCTTTCACTATGTCACCTCCACTCTGCCAGAGAATCCATCTCCATTCTGTACAAAAAACAGTGTCCTTTTGCTTGTGTTTGTGTACACGTGTATTTCAGGCATAAGTAAGCTAGCATGCATAGCATATAAATATTTAAGCACCTTGTCTGAAACTTTTTTTTAAAGGCTTACATTCTTTTAAGCCTACACATTTTAGCCTCATAGTGCAAAAATCAGAGTAAAGCTGGAAACAGCTCTAGAAATTTGTTCTGAACTTCTCATGCTGAAATTAAGAATCTATTTCCTCTGAAAAACCATGAAAGCAACAGGGTTTGCAGATTTCTTTCTGACACTGAATATGACTTCAGAACAGCAATGACAGTGACCAGGTGGTGCGGAGCTCTTGGACCACGGGAGTTTCCCAGAGTCCTTCAGACAGCGGCAGAGGCTGCTTCCCACTGCCTTGCATCGCTGATCAGGGTCCGGTACTTGCCTCAAGCACTTTCCAGGAATATCTGCAGCTGGGTTTCCCAGCATATCTTAATGGAAATGTCATCTCATCATTTCAAGAACTGACTCTAACGAGGCTCTGAAAAATGCTGTAGTTTGTCCATTCCTTTCAGCACAGGAACATTTCTATTCAGCCACGGGAGAGCCACTTGCAAGGGCAGCTCACCCTTGAGAGCTCCATCAGGGATAGCCTACCATCAGATCTGTTACCTGATTGAAACATCCTTGATGAGCATTATTTGTTCTGAGAGATGACCCAGATACTTTAGACCCGAGCATTTTTGCCTGTGTGTGTGGAAGCACTTTGCCTCATGTAGAAGCAGAAGGGTTTGTGGGTCAAATTCAGGCTGGAGCAGCAGGGGCTCTGGCTGTCAGCACCGGGTGCTGAAGCTGCTCACTCCCACACATGTGTGGCACGAGTGTTATTTTGCCCTCATGCTGCTTCCTCATGGTGCCTCATCCTCCTCAAAGCCATATTTGACTATCTGTAAACACCATTCCTAGATGCTACAGTCAAAAGCATGATACCAGTTCATTCAGTACTTAACTTCCCTGCTGAGACTACTGATGAAGATGTTAATTAATTCTAATTGTCACAGGATTTTTGTGCATATATCCTATATTTACAGCTTGTTGGCTTTTACATTGACATTTTATGAGATTAACCCATTTGGTATGCAATTAATACTAACAGTAAAAAAAAAAAAAAAAGAATGCCACTATCTACAAAGCAATTAGCTACAGAAAATGATTTTTTACTTACAGATGTGTTCATGTGTGTGTGTGTGTCCCGCATATTAATAGTCTGTGCAATATTGACGATGGACCATTTTAAAAAAGGAACAAACAAGCTTGCATTTTGACTGCCTGCAGTATTTTTCTGGTGCAAATGTGGCCTTCAGAAGTGACCTTAGCCAAGTGGCTGTAAGAAGCCGAGATCCTGTCCTGAGAAATAACCTGGAGTAGAATGTCCCCACGTCCATGCCCTGGTTCCCTTCAGATGCTCCCATCAAAGGCATGGGTCTGACCCTCACATCAGTACAGCATCAGATGGTTTCTCCATTTGTCCTGGGGGAAAATCTCCCATCTTTTACATTAATATCGCTGAAGAATCCCCTATGGATTTGGGGAAATGATGTATTTACCTATTACGCTAATCCTTCCAAGTGTTGTGATTCTGCCTGGCCGTTTGTCGCTGGAGGGCCCATGAGTCAGTCCGACCATACAGAGCTGGCTGATGCCATCTTACCTTGAAGAAGGTCATTGTGGATCCATCTCTAACAGCCCCGTACTCTATCTTGGTTTGCTTTGCCAAATCGTCTGCTGAATCGATGGGGGATTCCATCCTCTCCACAGTCAGGAAGGCAGCCAGGTTGGCAGTATAGGATGAGATTATGATTAAGGTGAAAAACCACCATATTCCTCCAACTATTCTGGTAGAAAGAGCTTTGGGCATCAGCTCTGATCCTGTTACAATATCATCAAAACAATCATATTAAAATGGTGCTGAAAGATGCATTTCCTGATACCACAGACTGGTTTTAGGCACAGAATGCTTTTATGAGCTGTAATATGATAAAATGATTTAAACAATAATCTCACAGATGCACAGCTAACATTTATAATGGTAACACACTGTGAAAGGGATGTACGCCATGATACATGATAAATGGAATTATCCTTGGGTCTAAGCCCCATTACATCTCTGAGCTAATGCTCATCATGATATTAACCTCTCACACCCCCAGCAAGCTATACTAGTATTTTTGTCCATCTCCTGAGTCCTTTTTTTGCCAGTATACTGTAATCAATTTTTTAAACAGAGATCCTTAGCAGAACGCTGTTCTGCTTACAAGCTACCAGGCAGAAATACCTTACAAGAGAAAGCTGCCCTGTGCATCCTATCGACATACCTAAGCAGAAACAGGGCGATCAATATGGCTTGTTGGCCTATCTGAACCTGAGCTCCAAACCCAGAACACGTCTTGTTACAAACGAGTGGCTTACATTTGAAAATTCAGAGGGTGAATGGACATATCCCGTGGATCTACAGGACAATGCAAAGTTTTGGACAGTGTACTTAACACTCATTAAAGCTGAGAAGGTTTTAGCAGGTCTGCCTGCATGTCACACCAACAAGTATCAAAGTGATCTGCCCTTGTCACAAAACCCCACAGAACAGCTTGGGTGGGTGTTAAGTGCGCTGAAATGGCTTCTAAACAGCTCATGCAAATCATATTTAAACCACACAGATACTCGTATTTCTAAGAATTCTGATGCAAGTTTTCTGCCATTTTTTCTAGAGACGCACCCACTGAACTTAGCTCATTGTGTGGGATTCAAGGATCTGGTTCAGCAAAGCACTTAGACAGCCACTTGAATACTTTTGACTGCAAAGGTAAGCCTTTGCGTAATTATTTTGTTGATGAAGGATGGATTTAGGAGAGTACTTAAGTGCCTGTGAATGGAGATCTCAGCAGGTAAAGCTTTTGGTGTGACAAACATATTTCTATCACTGGAAAAATGTGTTGACATATTATCTCTCCCCAACTATTTAATGTTTTCTGTAAGAAATTTAAACATGTTACAGAGAATATTTTCAGCCTTTGCAAAATCTCTGAATGTGACTTTCAGGGCAAAGACCAAAAAAGTAAAAACTTTCCAAAGAACCAGCAAACAGATTTAACTTAGCTTTGTAAACATATAGACATGTATCTTAAAGGTCAAAGCTAAGCATAGCCCAAGGGTTTGAGTAGGTTGACAGAATTGCCAAACTGCGAGAGCAGATGCTCTGCCTGTGCAGCCCTGTGCAGCCCTGGCGCTGCACAGATTTCAAATTAAGCCAGCAGTCTAAAAGCAAAAACTCTCACTGGAAATTTTTGAGTCCAAATGTACCCCTTTCAAGAGCTGTAGCTCTGTCTGGGTTTATGTTTGTGGTCTGTTGTGCTTACTTGCTTTTCAGATTAGATTTTTTTTTCAGTACAATGAAACCTTTTCTTTTTTTGCATTGTTGCTCTCTGGAAAAGCATGTGTTTATTGCTAAGCTGGGGTCAACCTGCAAAAGCTGGCTTCTAGGAGTGCTGATTCAGGTCGTCCTGGAGGTATTATTTTTTTTTAAGCTTAGACAACTATATGAATATAATTGCTACACTTGGACCCTGATGTAATACCTAGCTCTGACATATACATCCCAGTAGTGCATAATAGCCAGATACCTTGCAGATAGCTTAACAGGCGGCCATGAAATCTGCCAGTGCAGCCTTACGGCGGCACAAGACAGTAGGCGGAGAAGCCCTCTGTGCTGAATTTGTGGGGGGAGATGCCAGCCCCCCTGTGGTTTCCTCTAGC